TAGTTAAGATCATAGGAATTTTGCCCCAAATTCTAATATAGAAATTGTGCTGATCTTATCCGGATCAGCAATTAAATTGATAAAGTAATTCTTAAGTAATTGCTTTTACCGGTTCTTTGATAAGTCCTTGAACAGGGCCTTTTTATATCTCCCGCTCGTATTAGTTTTTTTTTTACATATTTATACCGGTATTTAGTGATTTATTTAGTAATTAGCCTGTTCAGGGACTTATCAAACACCCGGTATATGATAATTAATTATTTAAAAAAATTAGTTTTCATATAGAAGCAATTACTTGAGAACTACTAGACCAATTTGGATAAAATTTAAATATGTTATAGAGAAATATTGATACCGACTTCAGAAAAATTTTAGTTAATTCTAATCACTAGTTGTCAGGAAATTCTTTGTCAAAGTTTGATTATATTGCGAAACAATTGATATTTAAAAAAGTGAGGTAGAGGGTGTGGTGCTTATTCACGGTAGAATACGGTATATCAGTATCAATTTATATATATAAACGAATATAATCGATAGAGTTACTAATCAATTATATAGTAACTAAAATTTATCGATACTAATCGATTAATCGATTGTAATCTTATATATCACCTTAAAAAATTTCCTGATGCATGACACATAATAGTTCCGGACCACTATATTTTATCAATAAAAAAGAATTATTATTATAGGGCTGTGTAATAGTTGTGTTTATTATTTTTCTTAATATATAGTTGGTTTTTTTATACTGTATTATCTGAGCAATGAATTATGAAATATCATTCTTAAATTTCTAAATTAACCAAAATTTTATTTTATTGTACATAAAATATGAAAATAAATAATACAGTTTCCTAATTATATATATAATCCTCTAACTAGATAATTGGAGAGATCGTGTTATAATCCTAGTATGTATTAGAACCTTTAATCAATAGTATATACAGTACATTGTAAATTAATTGTTAAATATAGAACGTCCTAACAACATTCTTAATAAATGTCCATAATTAATTAATACGACCAGCTCTGCGATATGGTTTATAGTCAATCCATCGGTCAGGAACCATAAGGAAATATCTGCAAAAATAACAATAATGTTAGTACAAATTTAAATTATTTTGCACAATATCTTTAACAATAGTCATATACCTATTCATAGCCTCTCTGAACCTATTTTTATATTGACGAGGGGTAACAATGGTTGGCTCTTTCCCACCACCACCTAAGAATCCAGATTCTTTAACCCAACTCTCAAGTTTCTTGTCCCATGTAAATGTCCGTATGAAATCTTTTTAAGATAATAACAATTAATTAAAAGGAAATAAAATAATTGATTAAATTATTTGGGACATACTCACCAAGTATTCCTACAACTAATTCATGGTTTTCTTCATCGATTCCAACTAAGAGAGAATAGTCCATTACATTATGCTTCGCCAGGAATAGTGTATCATTGAACAAGGATTCATACAAAAGTTTTTTTGAATGTTCTCGAAGATATATTGGATTTTCGGTCATAATTACTACAAATATCAAAAAGAAAAAATTTAGAATTAAATTTGATCAAATATAAAGAGTAATATCAAAACTTCTCACATACGTTCTAGTAAGTTTTCATCTAATAAAACCTCATTTTCCTTCCCAGTACTCTGAACATGACGATTTCGCATGGACCCTTTTAGATCAAATATCTGTAAATTTCAAATAATTGGATTCAAAATTACTATTAAGTTGACGTAACATCCAACAACATTAATAATTGAAACATTGGTTTTTGCCTTAAAGCTTTGATCATATGGTTTACTGTGTCCAAGAGTCGGTCATTTTTAAGGCAAAAAATCCATATATTACATTATCATTATGGATAATACAATATCCGGGCAGATAAAAAAGTGCTTTCTTACTTTTGACACTTTACGCTCATAGAAAAGGTTTTCCATTACAATAAAAGTGATATTTAAATTTTTTCCAGTTTGCTCATTTTTGTATGAAACGCGATAAAAACCAAAAATTTTGGTCAATACAGTGGGAAGCTAATAAATGATAAGTTACAGTTTAAATATTTAGCATATAAATATATATATCGGTAATAATACATTAAATATATACGACTAACATCAATTAAGGCCTTAGCCATATATTCAAAATATTTTGGAGCGAATTTTAGGAACGCATCCACTTCATTGCGAGAAATTTGTTTCATGACCAGACGATCATCTAAATAGATGAATTGTAAGTATTTTGCATATATTTTTATTCAATTTATTTTTAATTATAAACATAAAACATACCTCGTGTTTTAAGAAAAGCGGAACCAGATTTGCCTCCACTCGAATCCCATTTTACACATCGTGAAAGTGACTGTATGTAAGTACTCTCACAACCGCATTTACGCCTAAGCGAATCAAATTGATCAGCACAATAAATTTTACAGACGAAAGTTGTAGAATTATGGGAAAATTCTACAAAAATATAGATTATTAAAATACAAATAGTAGTGATCATAATAATAATAGAGTAAATTAATTATGTTCATTACGATATTTCATGTGCGATAGTAGAAAATCTTCTACATCATTGTTTTCGTCTCCATCAGCAACAAAATTAGAAGATTTAGAACTAAATCGATCATCTAATATGTCATTGTTGTTTTGATTAGTTTGTTGCATGGTCTTCAATTTATCCAAATATTCTTTTGAACTTTAAAATAATAAAAGATATTAATTAACAATTTGAATTATCGTGAATTGTATTAATAAGTATTTTACCTCAAAGCAAAGGCTATTATTGACCCTGGTTCATCTTCTCTAACGATAATCGAAGATTCAGGGAACACATGTTCCGTCGGAGTTCTATCTCGTAAATAAAGTTATAAATCAAAATAATTAATGATTAATAATAATAATGACATAGAGTTACAAAATAAATGTTTATTTGTCTTTTAACTTACAAAGGATAAACCAACGGGTCTAAATTTCTTTTATCTGTCCAAAAACTCGTAATAGACCTCACCATCCTTTGTACATTAGAGGTATCATTTGTATCATTTTGAAATAGATATCTACCAGCTCCTGAAAATGACTCCGATACAGGTGTAGTTGGTTCATTGAAATCATTTCCTAAAAATGTCAATGCAGGATGATGTATATATGACTCATCCGACGGTTCGCGGCCTGGTAATAGAGGAAATTCTTCATTTCCCAATAGTTCATCAAATGCATCTGTACGATTCAACGAGAATATTCGTGTTTCATCGTCATAAAATCGATCATGATGATCATCATGATAGTCATCTACATCCTCATCTGAATCATCTGATTCTTCTGCAGTCGCATCTTTCACATTATTAAAAACTTCAATAGTTGGTTTTGAGGGTAGAATAGTTGGCCTATTACGTTTTAGTTTATAAAGTCCAGCTAATTTACTTTTTTTATTTTCATGAGATCTTATGGCAGAAAGTCCAAAACTATCAGATGGTGTGTGTTTAAGCGCCGATGCTCTGCTATATTTTGAATTTTGACGAGGAATTCCGGATGTTGCACTTTGATTTCTCTTGGAATGAACTTGTACCCTTTTAGTTGACGGATATTCTTGTACATTAGTTTCTTTATCTTTTTCTAATACTGACTGTAATATACTAATTTGAGATGATGATGCTGATGATGGTGATGATGGCAATGATGATGATGATGATGATGATGATGATTTTGTAGTTACTTGTGATAATAATATACGGCTATGCCTGTTACTACTACGTCCAGTCGAATTATGCGAATCTGAAGATATAAGTAAGGAAGGTGAAGTATTGTGTCTTTGTTTAACAGTAGTTGGTACTATACGAGGTATTTCAGTTGGTTGAGTAAAATCACATTCCTCTTGTTTGTCGCTAATAGCTGGAAAAATTGATTCAGATGCTGTACGGCCTACCAATTGCCTTTGCCATGATTTATTTTCTTGCATCCATTTCATTGATAAACGCCTAGCAACCTTTGGATCCATGGACGGAAATAAATATAATTGTGAGGCGACTTTTTCTATGTCATTTTCAAGACTTTCAATTTCTCCTTCAGGGAAGAAATCTGATTCTTTAAGTCCACTTAAAATAAGTTCCACTGTAGGTGAACTTCCTAACTTTGGAATAATTGTAGGTCCAATATTATCATCGGACTTAGAAGAGTCTAATATAGTGTCGAGATCCATACTTATTAGTGGTAATTCATCGAAAAATGAATTCGAATAACCACGTAAAGTAATCGCTTCATGATTATCAACAAAAAATCTCCTTAGCTGTTTCGCAGTTAATCGGAAATACTGTCGAGCAATATCATTAAAATCTTTATCCCAAGCTGCAACTTTATCTTGAAGAACGCATAATACATTATTTAATGCTAAGGTATCTTCAGGTGGACTATTAACATAAGTTTGTTGAAGTTTTTGAAGCATAAATTTCTTTTCTGTCACAACTCTCCGAGACATTTCTAATAATTCTTGTTTACACATTTCAACCTTATCAGGTTGAACAATCTCAAAATTGAAATTTTTTATTCTATCAGCTACTGAATCCCAATATTTAGAAATTTTATGTCGAATTGAATCTAAATCATGATTTTTAAGACGAATGTGAACTTCAGGTTTTGTATAAAGATTCATAGGTGGTGCATATACTTCTAAAAGTTCAATTGGTTCATGTTGAAATCTAATCGTATGTTTATTAAGATGGAAATATAAATCATGATCACGAAAAACATTATGGGAACATTTTTCTAGACGGCCTTTGACTTCTGTTTGATAAAAAGAAAGTTCTAAATATTTTCCAAATGAATACTTCCATGTATCTTCACTCATCAATGTTGGTGATGTTTCAGTATTACATATTTTACAATGAGTAGACATGAAAATTTGATCCACATTCAAGTGAGGGTGCCCTACATTTTCGTCGATATATACAGTGATTCTTGAATTTCCATGACAAAAACTGTGATAATGCATTAATAGTGGGCGGTCACATGTACCGCATAAATAAGCGGATCTTGAACTCATTTCTTCTAAATATTGCCCAAGTGTACGATCAGATTCACGATAATATTCCATAACTAAAATCTCGGGATCACCACATGGTGTTGAATTTACAGTGCAAACTTTAGAAAATAATACTGATATATTTTGATGTGCATATGGACTAACAACGTTATTATATTCATAGGATTCCCAAGCGCGCACTTGAAACATATGATCCTGAGCAGCATCAGCGAATTCTGCTTCAGCTATAACTTGCTCAGGGGTACGTAAAATGCCTGAAAGACTGACAGAAGCAGAAGATGCCGAATGTGGCTTATCATTGTCTTTAGCTGAATGCCAATTACGTTTCTGTATCAAATCTCCAAGCTTTTTTTCAGCTTGTTTCATTCTTGTCAATAAATAAGGTGGTGGAAATTTAATAAATGGAGACACTGAAAGTATAGTCGTTTCATATATTTTTAAGGGATCCAATTCATCACATTTAGGAGAAAAATAATCTTCATTACTAAAATTAACTTGTTCAACAAAATCAGGCGTTCTTGCAAATTGATCTATTATTAAAGCAGTCTCTAATTTTAAATTATAAACCACGAATACCATGAGATCAGCAATACGTTTTACTTTTTCAAGAGTTTCTATATTTCCTCCTCGTAAAGCAATAGTACAACCTAAATCTTTAGGGCATTTTTCAAAGAATAAATATGTCTTTCGTCGTCCTGGAATAAGTTGATGATCAAAAGTTTTGACCAAAAATGTTCCACAATTTCCCAATTTTGGTTCTAAAGCAAGCTTATCAATAGATTGAAGAATATCAGCTCGTGCACAACGAGCGACAGCTTCAATAACAGAAGGTTTAACATTCAATGCGACTGCAATATTTTTTTCTAATAACATTTGCAAAGCCTTACGAGCAACAGTTTTTTCAACTAAAACTAAATGAGGACGTAATGCAGCAATTCGATTGACTAAGAGACGTAAATGCTCCTCTTCTTGAGCAATTACTGGATCCAAAGACATTAATTGATTCTCTACGCGATGATATTCCAAAGCAAAAGTTAAAATAAGAACTCGAGGATTTTGAATTGTTCTCGGCATTTGTTTATGAGCTAGATTTTTTGAACATACAACACCATGAATATATTCAGAATCTTGAGGTGTACCACCAGGAATTCTTTTAATTTTTACATAATGTCGAATATCAATCTCATCACCATTACGAACATTTGGATTTAAATTATCAGCAACTTTTGTCATTAATTCCATTATTACATCTTCCCAACCTTCAGATAAATCTATTTCAGATTCTTTTAAAAATTGACGTAGTAATTGCCTCATATGTTGAAGGGAAACTGAACTTATTTCTGTCTTAGTCTGCATAGAAGTAGTTCGAGAATGTCTCATACTAAATGGAGATGAAGGTCTAGATTCTATTGAACAAGACATTTCCATAGGTACATTATTTGGAGTAATTTGTCTGAGTAAACCACTTCTTTTGCTCATTCTTGCAGCACGGTTATTGGTAATACTACGTCTTCGTGAAAGACTTTTATCTCTAGCGAAATGACTTCTTATTTCATCAGCACGTTGACCTCTTTGCATAGATCGTAAAGATCTTGAACCATATTCACTAACTTCATCATCACTACCAGCATATTCAGAAACAGCAGGAGTTGGTGTAGCAGAATCATTATTTACACCCCCATGTAAGAAACTGGTAACAAAATTTAAAACATTTGATGGATTTGTTAAAGAATCATAATGAACATCATCTTCGCCTTCTTCATCACTCATAAAAGGCGCAATTTCAGGATCAAGAACAGCTTCCGGATTTGCAGCTGGAGTAGTTTTATAATCTTCAACAAGACTACGTCGAAAAGGAGCAGGTGAACTTACAATATGAGAATCCTCATTTATAGTATTAGATCTTGATCTTGACATAAATAAAGAAGTAATTCTTTTTAAACCAAAATCATTCAACGAGAGAGCATCAGGAGAAGGAGGTCGTGGTGAAAGGTGAACATTAAGAGAAGTAGTAGTAGTTAACTCAGTCGTTGTATTTGATGGAATGTTGTGGTTTTCAGATAACATAGATTGAGATCTTGAAAGAACGTTATTCGGAAAATCATTTTTTTCAGGCGTCCAATAATCAGGTTCAGCATCAGAATTATCGCCATAATCTTCCATAAGTTGTCGACAAAAATTGCAAACACGCATTGCACCATCATAATTAAACTTTTCACCAGGTATTATATTGGAAGCACATTTAGAACAGAAAATCTGACCTTTTATTAAAGAAATTAAAGAAAAGTTAATAAATAATCATTAGAAAAAAAAAAAAGTTATATATGTATATATTATTATTATATATATATATATATTATATGTATACTATATATGCATTTATATATGTATATTTTTACTTGCCACATATACGACAATGATGTTTTCTTCGGACTATTGTAAAAGTAACTTTACATTCATAGCATTCTTTACAAGTATCATCAGCCATCCAATAGCCTTTATTTACACCTTCACCACGTAATCTTCTGATAACTTTACTAAAAGAATAACCAGAATTATTACTAGTAGAAGTAGTAGTTTGAATAGAATGAACAGATCGAGTATCCGAAACATCTTTATGAATAGAATGTGTGTCTTGAGATGCCAATTCGGATTTGTCTTGATGGTCACTAACACCATTAACTGAATTTGGAGTAGTATTGATACCATTTATAGTATCATTAACGTGTTCTTGAACAGTTTCCACAGACTCTACCATAAGCTTTGGTGGTGCACTTCCAAGGAAAGGTTCTATTGAAACAACAGGGGGAGCGGGTGTTTTAAAGCCTTTATTATCTTTATCAGGTAATAAGAGCGACGAAGTACTCCTCGAAGGTTCAAACTCAGGATCTTGAGAAGAGTTTGTAGGTGAATTTTCGAGAGGATCTGTAGAGTTGTTTAAGTTTGAGGTGCCAGGAGACACGACGAAAGAACTCTTTACACGTTGAAATAATTTCGATATTACATTTTCATTATCCTCTTCGCAAGGTCTATAACCAAAACTTGTAAGTGTGGCAACGTCCAAGTTTGAAGAATTGTTACTCAACCGGACCGATGTCATTTTTTTAAAGCTGATTAAGAAAAATTCTATAAATTAACCGCAAACATAAGTAATTTGTTGACAACAAAGAAATAACGGAGCGAGAACCGAAAAACCTTTATCTGTTATTATCAGCTATATGAATGCAAACAATAGCTACTAATATGGTGAAGATTGATTATGTCATCCTACATCATCAACTACGTTTTTGTGTAATGTAGCGTAATGTAACGTAATACGTATTCATCAGATATATCAGATACAAATACGTATATAGAATGAACGGTTTTTTCTTCACTTCTCTAGGGGGATAAATTCGTTATATACCTTTTATTACATAATGATTAATCAGGAATTTGCACAGTACTTATATGCTTAAGATTTAATAGTGAGCCGGCTACTAACATGTATTAAATCACGTAGAATGAAAAAATGAGAATCCATTTTAAGAACTACCGTACAGCGCAGAGCATAGTAACCGGAAATTCTAAGTTAGGATATTTATTGTATAAAAAATTGGCAACATACTTTAACAGTACGTACACATTTCAATTTATATGCGCCGGTACCGAACTCTAATATTTTCCTGACTGATCAAACTTTTATCGGCTAGACTATAAGTCGATAAATTTTATCGCTTGACCGAAATAGGACTCTGGATAATTCTAAAAAAGGTGGTATTATTAAACCAACCATTTTTTTTTAGCCTAAACTTTTCTAATTCTGGTCAAAATAAAATTTTAATTTTAATTTTGGCCGGAATTTAGAAAAGTTTAGACTAAAAAAAAACGAATTTGCAGTTTTTAGTAACACCACCTTTTTTAGAATTATCCGAAATGTTAATCAATTGACTGTCAATATTTCCGGTAGATTGACTTTCAAATTCGCCGATTGGCCACAGATTGGAAATGACCAGTCGTCGATTTTCATTAAAATCAAAGTATAGATGGAATACAATAAAAATTCATAAATAATAAAATTTTAAAGAATCAAAATTTTGGAAATGTTAAATTTTTTTTTATTTCGAATGAATTTTCTTTAAGGATTCATTTATCTCCCTTAATGTAATGTATCTTTATTTGCGAATTAAATATCCCTTCTACACATTAATTTTTATAATATTTATAGTATATATCTATATAATTTGACAAATATGATTGTCAGATACATCAATAAAATATCTAAAATAAAGCCATAAGTGAGAAGGCTTAACTAATTCTACCATTATTCTCCATATAAGTAATTAATTCCTCCAAAGGAGCTAATTCTTTCTTATCTGGTAATAAATTGAATTCCTTAGCGAATGAAATAAAATGGGCAAATAAAGAATTAAATTGCTTTTCTTCACGAAGATGTAAAATTTGT